TAGCTAGGCTTATAAGCATGAGCCACTGATGCCCAGCTAGCCTGAAATTCTGCAAGGCAACATAACCCATCTGAGCTTCTAGTTTTGTTCTGGACAGATTGCAACTACCATCTAGTTGATTGCAAGTGTCAAATGAAGTCCTGATCTTGGGGCCTGACTCCCATCCACCTCTGCAAGTTTGGATATTGAGACCATTGCTCCAACACACACCTGATACAATGCTAAGAGGCCTCCAGGAAGAGTTACAAACAGGGAGTTACTGGGTCAATGCATGATGGGCTATGGGAAGTTGGTCTGTTTAAATTTTTTTCTCCCAGCCTTCAAAAAAATCTATGGGAAACCTGACATGCTTCTGACAAGCTGCTGGCCCCTGTCCCAAGAGGTGTCCTCGCTGTTTCCAGGCTGTGTTATAAGACTCTGGAATGCCAGCCCCGATAAATCTAGATTTGCCATGTACTGAATGTACTAGTTCCTTTGTTGCTAATGCAAGGTGGGGACTATCTACTAACCCATCAGAGCAGGCATGAGAGCTTGTCTGAATTCAAACTGTCAAGATTCCTCACATCAGACCCTCACCTCTGAATGACCTAAAAAATGAAAGTTTGTGTTTGCTAAGGGCTCAGGTCTAAGGGGAATTTTTTGAAAACTAATATTGGATTTTAAATGCATGTGATTGTGAGAGGAAAGGAAGGAGCAAAGGGTGTTGTTTAACCCGTGTTTTGTTGTTGTTGTTGTTTTGCTTTGTTTTCATGGCAATCCTGGGTTTAAACTGGAGCTCATACTTGTCAGAAAGACATACCACCTTTTGAGCCATTCCTCCCATCCTAACACAATTTTTGAAAGAAATGTCATAGGAAACAATGGTTTATCAAGAGCTAGTTTAACCTGCTTAGGACACTGGAAGGCTGAGTTCTGGATTTGCCATTCTCCCTAAACCAATGCATCTTCTCAGCTAGCTGCTTCCACTCATGAATTCTCAGGGGCCCTTAGGAATAAAATAAGAGCTGGGCACTGCTGGCTTATGCCCATAACTTGAGCTACTTAGATGGCTGAGATCTGAGGATCACAGTTGGAAGCTAGCTTGGGCTCAAATGTCCATGATTTTCTTACTTCCAATTAACCAGAAGAAGAAGGCCAGAAGTAGAGGTGTGGCTCAAGTGGTCATGTGCCAGTCTTGAGCAAAAAAGACAAGAGTAAAAGGTCCAGAGTTCATGCCAGAGCATGCACACATGCACACGCGCACACACACACACACACACACACACACACACTAATGAGGTGGTTAAGTCAGGTGCTCTCCACAACCCATGCCATTGGGATTGTCTAGCTGTGTGGCTGTGTGGCTTAGCGTTAGCTCACTATATATGGGAAACACACAATGCATGGCACCACCTCCTTGCTTCACCAAAGCATTTCTCTGGGACTTGGTATGCTAGACTGTATAATGAATTCCACTCTGTGTGAAGTTGTCTTCCTAAATATGAGGTCACCATAGCCAAGACCAGCACAAACACAGTTCCTCGAGACATTTAGCACCTGGGTCCATTGGAGGCAAGGGTGACTGTTTGAAGGAATAATTCTCTCAGTGTGCTATTAGTGGTTCCCCGCCCTCCCCTCCAAAAGCAGGAGCCACATAACCAAGATGTGAACTCAGGCCTACCAAATCCAAAGTTTTGTCATGGACCCAGCGAAAGATGTTGTTACATGCTCTGTGAGGGATTGTGACACTGGAATTTGAGAATCACTGGCTCTACACATGTTGGTCTTTGGCAAGTTTGAACTCAGAATGTGTTTAGTGAGTTACAACTTGACACAACTTAGCTTTGGTCCAGGTAGAACTCACATCCTTACCTCCCAGTGAACTGTGTCCCCTTTAGTTACTTCTTAGAAGCCATTTTCTTTCTAGTACTAAGGAAAGGCTAGAGCTCTGTAGCCAGAGGTGACTATGAATCAATGTTCCTAAGACCTGGAGGAGAATTGGCCTGAGAAGATTTCTATGATAATGTTCTAGTGACTGTACAGGAGTCAAAAGGAAGTGATAGTGGCATCTGAATTTCATACCGGCCGCCTGGCAAGTATGGTAAGACAGAACCTAATGCAGTTTCCCCCAATTTCTGCAGGCCTGGTACACAGGTGGCATGTAAGCATTGCCAGTCTATTGGTTAAATGCACCACAGAAGGGCGAGGGTGTAGCAGAGGTCCTCTTGGCTGTGCATCAGGGATGGGCTGTGTGATTTAAGGGACAGCCTCCCCCCAGGGAAAGGTCCTATCATCGGCCTCACCTGTGCAATAGGAGCTTCCCCCACAGTCTGCAGAGCCTCTTTCATCTCCCATCCTCTCTGTGTAGTGATAATTCTCTCTGTCTTAATGATTTTGGCTGGAAAATGGTGACTGATAACTCCCACATGAATAGAGAAAGAAGGTAATCTGAGCCATAAGGCAATCTTTGCACTGCTTCTCAGTTGGTTCTCTCATTTGCCTGATTCCAACTGGGCCCACGATGCTGCCTGCTTGGTACTACCCAGTTAGTCTGGCTAGCCTCTCAGTCTGCACCCCGGACTTCAGGCTGATTCAGTTCTCTGCTTGTCTTAGAAATTATTTCATCCTGGAGGGGACATTGGCCCACCTAGAAGAAAGTTGGTTCCCATATTCAGACCTCTGGTTAGTGCAAATTTTTTTTTTTTAATTATAGTGCAAATGTTAAAATTATGCTTTTAAGTGGCATCTCTATTTTTGACTCACTCCACTTCAAGGAACACCTTTTCCAGCTTGTTATCCAGATTTCCCTCTTCTTATCTCTGTTCCAAAGACTATGCCAAAAAAAGCAGATGCAAAGACCTATCCACGCCTAACTCCTTGCCCCGAAGTCTGGGCTCTATAAAAGATTCATCCTGTCAACTGTTAGCTTTCAGAACTGAGGGCTGTCTTCTCTCCCTTCCCTCTTAAACCTGTTGCCTAACAATCTCGCCTTAACCTTTTGCCAAATTCTGCACTTCTGTCAGAGGTGACTATGAGTGTTTGAACAGGTAACTTTTACCTTTGCCCCTCTATTGCAACAGGTCCAAAGGTTTCAGGTGAGCTGGCTAGACACTGAAGGACACACAGAACCTAAGTACCATAACTGTAGAAAGAGCAGAGACAGCTGAATGTGGTGCTGGCTCAGTCCATCTGTCTGTGCGGAGAGAGTTTCCTAGATTCAGGAAGTGGGAGAGTTCTTACAAGGTAAGCCGATATAATCCTACCTGCTTGTTTTATGTCTACAAGACAGTGGGGATGGGTTGGTGTGGGACAAGAAGGTGGCATAAATGTCTGTTCTCAGCCTCAGACTCTTTTACAGGTTATTTGTTGAGTATTAGCCTCATATGACCTGTGAGGAGTCAAAGAAGAAAAAAAAATCAGTTGGAAAAGGGGTGGTTGGAATCACCTGAATGCTAGCAAGTAAAGGAATTAGAAAAGAATGGTAAATCTACTGGGGGGGAAATTATAAACAAGATGTAGGGTTTCCTTGTCTTCTGTTCAGAATTTTCAGTCTCAATTTGGTTACTGAGACTACCCAACAGCTGCTGAGGGCAGTGATTCCCATTGGAAGAGAGAAGGGAATCTTTAGCAGATATTAAGCAGGGACTGGAGACTTACACGATTTAATATTGGCTTACCACCCTCTGAAAGAGTAGTATCGTTCTATTCAAAGATAAGTGGTAGATCTGTGAGCTGTTCCATGGCTAGGAGAGGGATGGCTCAAAGTTGAATCCTGATCTATCACTGCTAAGCTTCTTTATAACACAGAATCCTTCTGTGTTGCTAAACCCTTCTTTTGTTCTCTGAAATCTTGTCACTCATGTACAGGTAGGATCAGATAGAGCAATCTGGTAAGATTGTGAAATAGCCCGGGAATTTTTTATCTTGAGTTGTCAGTTCTGGAGAGACCACTAATAATCATCATGATGGTGATGATGATGATGATGATGATGATGATGATGATGATGATGATGGCCTCCTCTTCTTTTAGCCCTTCCTTTACACTTAGGTAGGAAGACGGTGCCTGCCCCTCCCCCTCCCCCTTCTGAGTTCAGAGGAACTCAGATTAGACAGAATGAGGCTTGAAAGCCATTCTGGTGTTCTCTGAAGGAATTTGTCTCTTGGGGGAGCCGAGTTCCTGAAATTAAATAAAAGCCAAGGCTTCCTCCACCTCTGAGAAATCCCAGAAGATGGAATGGGCTGAATTTTATCCTTCTCCCAGGTCCAACAGCTCCGCACTGAAGTTCTCAGAGACCGTGGCCCAGCTGGCTCTGCCCTTTTTAACTGGAGGCTAAGGACCTCCTCTTTACAGAGAGAACAAATCCTAATCTAGCTCTAGCAAAGAGTCAAGTTCACTCTGCACTTCCTGTGAGCCCTCGCAGGGATCACGCCTGGGAGAGTGCTTATGTCCTGGCTGTGTCTGTAGAGTTGGAGTGGGGAAGTGAGAAAGGGCAGGGAAATACCTTATTTGTGCTTCCAGATCTGAGAGCAGCCGCTCTAATGTTCCTGTGAGTCCACAGCCTTTAGGTAAATCAGATGAATGTGGCAATACCAGGGAGTGAGAGAGGCGGTGGAACACAGATGTAACTTAAACTTGTGTGAGAGGAGGGGCTGGTGTGCTGGGGGGAAAGGAGCCCTGCCAGGTTCATGGCTCACTGCCCCTTCTCATTTCTGCCTTGGCTGTTGATCCTCTGAGCTCTGTGAGAAATGCTTTGAGGACTGAGGCAGACAGTCCTGGGGACTGGAGTGAGGGAGGATCATGGTCTCAGGATGGCCCTGAGGGTGGAGGTCCTTCCTTACTGGACTTTCCTGTCCTGTGAATCTAGCAGGGAACAGCGTCACCTCCGCTTCTATGACAGGGGAGTGAGGGACACGTCGAGCTGTTGTTAGTTCTTCTGTTTGTTTGTTTGTTTGTTTGCCCTGGTTGAGAGCTAGCTGCACCCACCAGGGCAGGGTGGAGACACCCATGTAAGCTGGCTTGTGTGTGAACCCTGAGGTGCTGGGGTTAAAGGCTTTGCAAAGGAGCCAGGGTAGATTTGCCGGCTGCTCTCCTCCTGGTCAGAATACTTCCACTTTCAGTTGTGAAAGAAAAAGCAGGAAGTGAAGTCCCCGGAGCAGGGCCACGTTAGAAAGCTGGGCCATGGCCTGAGCCAGGACGGCTCAGCTCCAAGCAGGGCATAACTGGGGACACTCTGAGGCCAGGCTGCTTGCCTGCATGGACGCGCCGAAGCTGCCCTGCCCCAAGGCTGAGAAGAGAGGGACAAGGACTCCTGTACCAGGAAGAACTCAGAGCCAGGAAGCCCCATTCGCTGGAAGCCTAAGGCATTCGGGCCCCTCACCAGGCAGGGTAAGAGGATGGTCCGTGGGGGAGGGGTTGTTACTCAGCCAGGGCTGCTGTGAATGTGTGACCCAGACATCCTGACTCCCCATTTCAGCAGAACAGCTGGAAGTTAAAGCTTGCTGCGTCCCACGTGTGTGTGTGTGTGTGTGTGTGTGTGTGTGTGTGTGTGTGTGCGCGCGCGCACACACACATCACCTTCTCTTTCCCCACTGATGGCTCCCTAGACGCTCCAAGGGCCACCTGGAAATCCCTAGTTCATGCAGGATGAGGGAAAGGATGAGTAGGAGGCAAAGGTGGCTCTTTCTCTCGCCTCTCCTGGGCAGAGCGACTTCCACAGAGACCATCTTTGTGTGCCTGAAAAAGCTCCACGTGGTGGCCTGGAAGCTTAGCTTCAGTCTTCAGTGGACAATAAGTCCCTTATGGTTAAGAGTTGATTGTGTAATTCAAACAGACCAAGAGCCTTTTCTGAATGAAGCTGGGTACCTTTTCAAAGGTAAGGTCACAAGCTAACTTTACAATACCTTGAAGCATTTGAGGGAAGTAGACATTTGGAAAAATCTCTGCATTTGGGGCCTGGGATCTTGTATAGGATACCAACTTTTATTGTAATGGTCTTATTTGAAGAGTGGGATTGAATATAAAAGTCCAACTTCTAGGTAATTGCTATTTTTAAACAAGTAGTATAAAATAAGATAAAATACTAGTTTAGTTTTAAGCAATAACCTAAAGTCACTCCATGGAGTCTTCTCCTGGTGAGGGGACAGGTGTTTCAGGTAAATACAGAATCTATCTTGGTGTGGCATAAGCATTTTTGTGGGTACCACTTGTGTGCCTGGCCCAGTGAAAGAAATAAAAACCTAAATAAAATAGGAGTTATAAATGCAAGTGCTTATGAATGAATAGAGTAGATGGTATCTGATGGGCTGCTGACAATGAAAGAATAGGGCAATTCATATTGGGTACACTTCAGAGAAATACATTCAATTTAATTTAAGAAATAAATAATACTGCCAGATGCCGGTGGCTCACGCCTGTCATCCTAGCTACCCACAAAGCTGAAGTCTGAGGACTGAGGTTCAAAGCCAGCCTGGGCAGCCTGGGCAGTCCATGAGACTCTTATCTCCAATTAACCACCAGAAAACCAGAAGTGGTGCTGTGGCTCAAGTGGTAGAGCACTTGCCTTGACCTGAAGAGCTGAGGGACAGCGCCCAGGCCCAGAGTTCAAGCCCCATGGCCTACAATGATGATGATGATGATGATGATGATGATGATGATGATGATGATGATGATGATCAAGAAGCTGAGATCTGAAGATTGTGGTTAGAAGCCAGCAGTGGCAGGAAAGTCCATGAGATTCTTATCTCCAGTTAACCAGAAAAAATCCAAAAGTAGAGCTGTGGCTCAAGTGGTAGAGCACTGTCCTTGAGAGGAAAAAAAAAAAGCTCAGAGACAACTACCAGCTACTGAGTTGAGTTCAGGCCCCAGGACTTGTGCCAGGACTGAAACAACCACACTGTCCGGGCCCAGCTCAGACCTGGACTGTAATCCTAGCTACACAGGAGGCTGAAACCTGAGGAGTTTCAAAGCCCAGGCCCCGCAGGAAAGTCAATGAGCCTCTTCTCTCCAATTAACTACCCTCCCCCCAAAGCAGGAAGTGGAGTTGTGGCTCAATGGTAGAGTATTGTGCTTGAGCCCAAAGGCTCAGGCACAGTGTCAAGACCCTGAGTTCAAGCCCCTGGGCTGGCACCAAACAAACATCTGCACCAAACAATGTTTCAGCCATGCAGTTAAATAGGTCCTGACCTAAAGGGTCTTTTCTCCCTGGCTATACTATAACTCTTTTAGGGCACAGATGCAGAGAGGGAGCTATGGATGGAGACAGGGAAGAAGAAGAAGCCAGTGATGTACCTATACATAGTAGCTGCACATGCTTAATCAAGGCAGCCTTTTAATGTAGATGGCTTTCACCGTATTGTAGTTAAGAAAGGAACAAGGCTCAGAGAGGTGAAGCAACTTCCCCAAGGTCACACAGCAACAGCAAGTTATAAAACTTAGACAGAAGCTGCAGGCAGTTTGATGCTAAAAGACTGTTCATCGACTCAAATGTAAGATTAGCTTTCCTTTAGATTTCCTAGACATTTTAATTCATATAAAGATACTTATGCCAGGAACTGGTGACTCACACTTGTAATCCTATCTGCTCAGGAGATTTGAGATCAGAGGAGGCTGAGATCTGAGGATTATCATTTGAAGCCAGACCAGGCAGGAAACTCTGTGAGACTCTTATCTCTAAATAACTACCAAAAAGCTGGAAGTGGAGCTGTGACTCAAGTGGTAGAGTGCCAACCTTGAGCAAAAATGCTAAAAGGTACTGCCCAGACCCTACTTCAAGTCCCAATACTGGCACAAATACCAGCAAATTCATATGTAGTGACCTAGACACTAAATATTGGGGTTTGCATACTTTTCTGTAAATTTCATAGATAGCATTTATTGAACATTTTCTATGGGGTTCTGAATACATTTTAATATTTAATTAAAAAGTCCTATGAAGTGGTTTCATTATTTGGTAAATGAGGAAAGTGAAGTTCAGAAGCACAGTAATGGCACTAAATGCCCTATGATTAGACTGAATTGGAATTTGAACTCCAGCTCACTTAGTTCCAAAGGCAATCAGGGCCTCCATCTCCAGTGAGTCTAGTTTTGTGCATAGGCCAAAATCAAACAGAAACTAGAAGAAATATATCTTTTGAAAATCCTTCCATCTCAAATCCATAAAACAGAAGCAGGTTAGACATTTGCAGAGGCTGGGGTGAGGGCAGGAGGTAGAGTTCTAATGTTTAATGGGTACAAGTTTTTATTTTGGGGTGTGATAAAAATGCTTTGGCATTAGATGGGATTGTGTGACATTGTGAATGTACAAATGCACTGAGTTGTTTGCTTTAAAATGGTTCATTTTTTGGTCAATCTTATCTGCATTGCACCTTTAAAAAAGAAAAGAAAAAATACCTTCCAGGCAGATGGGTTTCCAGACTAGAATTCAGAGACTATTTTTAGAACCTATAGTGTGTGGCTTGCTCGGTCTGCCTCCCATGGCTCCCCAGCAGATGTGCTGAGCCTTGGTCAGATACAACCAGAAGTGACTCTCAAGTCTGGCCACCTTCTGCAGGTTGTTGTGACGCCCAGCAGCCATGGCCGCAGCCATCATAACTCTCACTTCATTGTGCTGTGCGTACATTCAAGTCTGCTTTTGCCATCCGTAGCCAGGCATCCTGAGATCAGAAATAGACTCCTCTTGCTAGCTCCCTCCTGTGACACAGGATCTGACCCTTCCTGGGTTCTCTGTTCATGGAGTGTGAATAAACATAAGAGTTCCTGGGGTCATGATAGCTCATGCTCTGCTGTTGTAGATCTCTGAATCTTCTTGGGTCATTCTATTCTAAGCACTGTGGTGTTTTGAGTGGCTTGCGGGAGGAAGAGAAGAGGGGGTTGAGTCAGAGATAGACCATGTCTCTTTCAACTACAGTGTTCTATTTAAGTAAAAATGAGAACTTATTGACAGGTGCTGACAATGTATGCCTGCTCTCTGAGCTACCTGGGAGGCTAAAATCCAGAGGATCCCAGTTTGAACCCAACCCAAGTTGAAAAGCCCATGAGTCTCCAGCTCCAAAATAACTAGCAGAAACACGGGCTGAAGTGAAGGTGTGGCTCAAATGGTAGAGCAGCAGCTAAGCAAGCAAGTGGAGAAAGTACTGGAATGATGATAATAGTGTCATTAAGGAAAAGGAAAATGGGGAGTTATGAATGCCTTTGCATGTAAAGGGAATGAAGACTTTGATCATCTCCTTTCTTTTGGGGCATCTTAGACCAGAACACCTGATATGGATAAGGACTTGAAAGGCAAGGGAATAAGAAGGAGAGAAAGCTACTCTTTGCAGAGGACATCTCAGGGGCTCAAGAGCACAGCAGATCTGGTACATGGGGCTTATCTGTATGCAGTTGAGAGAAATCAGTGCTCAGTGACATTCAATAACTGTCCCCAGGACCGCTCGCCTGGCAACTGGTAGAGCTGTTACCCTGGCGTCTGAGGAGACAATAACCTAAAAAATTTATCTTTGCAGCCAAGCACCGGTGGCTCATGCCTGTAATCCTAGCTACTACAGGAGTCTGAGGTCTGAGGATCATGGTTCGAAGCCAGCCCAGGCAGGAAAGTCTGTGAGACTCTTATCTTCAATTAACCACAAAAAGCCAGAAGTGGAGCTGTGGCTCAAGTGGTAGAATGCTAGCTTTGAAGACAAAAGCTCTGGGACAGGGCCAGACAGCCCCAGGACAGTTTCCCCCACTCCCCCGAAAAAAGTTTGCCTTTGCAAACAAGAGTGTTGGCAATAAAGCTTACGGCTTGTATCTTGGGTCTGTTGGCTTTCGACCATTGGTCCAGCCGGGTAACACCAGAGCTGGTTCTGCAGAGAACTGGGACGGGAAGGCCTCTTTCACAACCTTTTGCGTCACCCAGTCTTTATTCCGGCAGGGGTGATGGGGATCTAGTACTTTGTCCAGCCTATCTACCTTTTTACCATAACCTCTTATCAAGTCCAGCAGACTTGTGATACTCATTCTCCTTACTTGAGTCTCTCATGATTCACTTGGTCAGCAAGAAGCCCGAGATACCTTTAGGAAATGTTCACCTGGACGGCAGCGCTGTAAGATGATGATTTGTTTGAAGTACAATGGTAGATCAAGGTTGGCCGTATCAACCTAAGTGCCAGTGGGATTTGTCACTTCCTGTTGCTGCCCTGTGGGTGGTACCACAACTGAACGAGTGAATTGAGTGAGTCCACTCTTAGTATTTGACTTCACAGGGGATAGTTATTAAATACTATTCTCTCCCACTGGTCAAGGCCTGGTCCCCTCTAGTGTCTCGGTGAGTCAGATTGACTCTGATGGCGCTGCAATGGCACCAAGCCCCAAACACTACCTCATTCATCCTTCTCAGGAGCCTTTTCTTCTG